TAAATATAACAACAATTTTTAATATTTTTTTAAAATTTTGAGTTTTAAATTCTCTCCCTCCTTCCCTCCACTATCCCCTGTGTGAGAAGGCAAGCAACTTGATATAAGCTAAACATGTATAATCATGCAAAACCTATTTCCATATTAGTCATGTTGTGGGAAAAAAAAAAGACTCCAGGTTCCCTTCCCCTCGAAACAAAAAAAAAAGAAAAAGAAAGTTTAAAAAAGTATTCTTTAATCTGCATTGACAAACTATCAGTTCTTTCTCTAGAGGTAGATAGCATTTTTCATCATGAGTCTTTCAGAATTGTCTTAGATCTTTGTATTGCTGAGAATAGCTAAGTCATTCATAATTGATCATTGTACAGTATTGCTGTTACTCTATACAATGTTCTACTGATTCTGGTCATTTCACTTTGCCTCATTTCATCTAAGTCATACCAGGTTCTTCTGAGAGCATCATTTCTTACAGCACAGTAGTGTTCTATTACAGTCCCATACCACTTGTTCAGCCATTCCTCTTTTTTGGCATCCCTTCTATTTCCAGTTCTTTGCCACTATTCTATTCATCTCTGTTATTTTGATCAGGAATACTTGAAAATCTTCTATTTCTTGAAATGTCTATTTTTTTCTCCTGAAGGATTATATACTTAATTTTGCTGAGTAGGTTATTCTGGCTTGTAGTCTTAGTTCCTTTCCCTTCTGGAATATCTTATTTCATGCCCTTTGGTCCTTTATTGTGGTAGCTGCAAAATCTTGTGTGATATTGACTATAGCTACATGATATTTTAATGGTTTCTTTTTGGCCTCTTTCAATATTTTCTTTGACTTGGGAGCTCTGGAATTTGACTGTGATAATCCTGTGAGTTTTCATTTTGGGATCTCTTTCAGGTGGTGATTAGTGGATTCTTTCAATTTTTATTTTACCCTCTTACTCTAGTAAGAGTAATATTTATAATTATAAGATTTATATATGATTTATATTGTAATTATAATATTTGTATAATTGTATGATTATAATTATAAAATTTATGTATATTCATATATATAAATATAAGATTTATAATTTCTTGAAATGTGAAGTCTAGTATTTTTCTTTTTTTATCTTTATTTTGTGATTATGAATTTCAGGTAGTCTAATAATTCTCCTCTATCTATTTTCCAGGTCAGTTGTTTCTTCAGTGAGATATTTTACATTTTCTTTTTTTTTTCATTATTTTACTTTGTTTTATTATTTCTTAATATCTCATGAAATCATGAACTTCTAGTTGCCCAGTCCTAATATTTAAGGAATTATTTTCTTCAGTGAGCTTTTGTACCTTTTTTTCCATCTGGCTAATTTTGCTTTTTAAGGAGTTATATTCACTAGTGAAATTTTGTACCTTTTTTATTTTCTACCATTTGGACAATTCTGTTTTTTAATTTCCTTCAGTATTTTTTTTTGTGCCTCCTTTACCAAACTGTTAATTCTCTTTTCATTGTTGTCTTGCATTACTTTCATTTCTTTCCCCTATTTATTCTTTGCCAGTCTTATTTGATTTTTGAAATAATTTTTTGGCTTTTCCAGAAATCCTTTTTGGGTTTGTGTCCAAATTGCTTTCTTTTTTTCCCTTTTGAGGCTTTGCTTGTAGCTATTTTGATATAATTTTCTTCTTCTTACTTTGTGTCTTGATCTTTCCTGTCAACATAGTAGCTTTATATGATCAGGTTCTTTTTTGTTGTTGTTTGCTCATTTTTCCAGACTATTTTTGAATTTGAACTTTATGCTTCTGTTCGGTTCTGTTCACCCATGTGTGTTGAGGGACATTGTCCTAAGCTGCCGGCTTTTTCATGCTGTTGTTTTTGGAGCCAGTTTTGGGACTTTTCAAGTTTTGGGTACGCCTAGGGTGGTATGATCTGGAAAGAACTGTAGTCACTGTTCTCCTCACCTGTGCTCTTCTCCTTACCCAGGAAAGGCCCCTTCTCCCTTGTGACTGAGACTGCCACTGCTTCTCAGGGTCCTTCTTCCCTTGTGCCTGAAAGTATTCCTGTCATCCCTGAAACTGCAACCCAGAAGTGAGAATGGGCAATGGAGTTTCCAAAAAGCTCCCTGTCTTGCTCCTAGTAGTAGCTCTAGAGTCACCTGTAATCTTTTCCTGATCAGTTGCCCAATTCTGTTCTTCTCTGGGCTTGGATTTCCTGAAGCTGTTGCTGCTGCTGTCCCCACTATCTTATAATTCATGTTGCTGCCATGTGTCCTCCAGGCCAGTCCTCACCTCAGTGTCAATAGATCTCTCCTTCCAACCTCCTGAGTGGTCTTCAATTGGAAAAAATGTTTCAGCTTAACTTTTTGTTGGTTCTGCTACTCCAGAATTCAATTTGAGGCATGATTTTCAAGTTTTTTGAAAGGCAAAGTTTAGAAAATAGGCCTGTAATGCCTCCTCCCACCATCTTGGATCCACCCTGGATATCTCAATGTCCTCTTCTCAATCCCCATTTTTCTTGGCCTATTTTGTACGTTATGACGCTGTTGATCTTCTTTTTCTCCTTGATGCCATCTTCTTTCTGGGTTTTCAGGATACCACTCTCTCCTGGTTTTCCTATGTATCAGATCACTTTTCTGTCTCCTTTGCTGGTTCTTCATCCAGGTCACTCCCTCTAATTATAGATGTCTCTCATGGTTCTGTCCTGGGCCCTCTTCTTTTCTCCCTCTATACTATATACTATACACTTGGTAATCTCATCTCCTCCCATAGATTTAGTTACCATTTCTATGCTGATGATTCTTATATCTATCTTTCTTGCCTTATCCTGTCTTCCAACTTCCAGTCCCATATCTCCTGCTACATTATAGACATCATGAACCAAATATCCAGTAAAGATCTTAAGCTCAGCATATCTAAGATAACTTATTATCTTTTCCCCAAACTCTCTCCTCTCCTACTAACTTCCCTAAAATATAGAGAAAAAAACCATCCTCTCAGTTCCTTAGCCTCATATATTAGGTGTCATCCTTGTCTCCTTACTGTCTTTTCACCTCTTACACCCAATCTTTTGCCAGGCCTGTTAATTTCATCTTTTAAACATCTCAGAAATATCATACCTTCTGTGTTCTGATGCTGCCATTACCCTGATGCAGGCCCTTATTACCTGATGCATGGCCAATGCAATAGCCTGCTATTGAGTCTGCCTACCTGAAGTCTTTCCCCACTTCAATCCATCCTCCATTCAGCCATTAAAGTGATTTTTCTTTAAAGCACATGTCTGACTATGACACTCCCTCCCCTTTTCCAATAAATCTCTGTGGTTCCATATCACCACCAGGATCAAATACAAAATCCTCTGGCATTTAAATCCCTTCATAACCTAATCCACCTTTCCCCCTTTCCAGTCTTCTTACCCCTTACTCCCCTTACTTACATGAATTCAGTAATACTAACCTTTTTCTGTTCCATAAACAAGACACTCCATCCCTCAGCTCCAAACATTTTTTTCTGTCTGTCCCCTGAATGGGATACTCTTCCTTCTCAACTCTACCTGTTGACTTTCCTAGTTTTTTCCAAGTCCCAACTAAAATTCTGTCTTCTACAGGAAGCATTTTCCAACCCCTGTTCATTCTTGTTCCTCCCCTCTGTTTACTATTCCCTATTTTTCCTGTGGATACCTTGTTTTTACATGTGTATTTTCTTGTTATCTTCCCCCTTAGATTGTGAGCTCCTTCAGGGCAGAGACTGACTTCTGCCTTTTTTGTGTCTTTAATGCTTAGCATGGTTCATGGCATATAATAAGTGTGTAATAAATGTTTATTAACTTGCTGACTTTGTTGTGGCCATCCCTCATACCTGAAATGCACTTCTTTACCTCTGTGTCATAGAAAGGAAACTTCAAGATGCATCTCAGGTTGCATCTTCTATATGAAGCCTTCTTTAATCTCTGCAATTGCTAGTGCCTTCTTTCCCTAACTATATTTAACTTAAGAATTGCATTTATTCTTTTTACATTTAATCTATGTACACTAATATCTACATCTGTCTCACTTGTTAGATTGTAAACTAGAATGTATTGATTGTTTTATACATTGTATTTGTATCTCCAGAGACTTGCACAATGTCTGGCACAATAGATACATGATAATTATTTGTTAATTGATTCACGGAAGTGGGAAATCATAAGTGGAATATTCTTTATACTGTCAGATGTGAGCACTCTGTCAGTTGTTTTTTGTGTCAGTCTTTTCTTTTTTTTTCCAGGGAGGCCTGGGAGGTCGGGAGGGATATTGGGAAATGATTGTGATGCAGAAACAAAAGGTATCAATAAAACTTATTTTAATAAATAATATCTAAGTTGAGGAAATAAAAAGAAATATAGATAGATAATAATACTACTTACCTTTCCAGGTTTTTGTGAGGATCAAATGAGGTGAATGCACACAAAAGCACATTGTGCAGTAATAACTAATCTTCCAGAAAAGTAAGCCGTTATCTAAATTTAAACATACATCATCATCATCATTATTATTATATTTAGTCTGACTAGATATTAGGCCAATAATTTTTATACTTTTCAAGCTACTTATTCATAAATAAAATGAGGCTGTTAGACTAAGTTATTTAAGGCCCCTTCTAACTATCTTTAATTCCTGTGGCCCTCTGACTCTTCTCATATCTTTTGCAGTCCATTCTGGTTTAATTATAACTTTTTACCCAAAAAGAGTCTGGCAGGATTTCTAGGCAGTTGAAAGGGTAGTGCTGATATTGTAATAACAATGGTGTAAAAACAAAATACGCATTATTGAGAAGGAGATTTACTTCCCAAATCCAAATGACTTTGAGAATTTATTGTAATTCTTTTTTACTTGTCCTCATGCTCAAAGACATAGATCAAGTAAGTGAAATTTCTTTGTAGGTGTATGTTAGCGTAGGTGTGATAGAATGATTAAAATAAACATTGTACATCTAATTGAATTTACTCTCCTGAATTTTTTTTTTTTGTTCGTTTGTTTGGTATATTTGTATCAATAGGGTCCGGGAGGCTGCAATGACAGGTCTAATGGAGCTGACAGTTTTGCTAACAAGAAATCATCCAGAGCTCATTGAAGCAAATGTGTGAGTATTGAAATTGTACAGCTAGCTTCATCCTATAAATCCTATATTCTTACTAGATTCTGTTCCATTGGAATATACATTGTGATGTTGGCCATGCCCAGTCCAGCTCCCTCAGTATTCACCTAGTTGTTTCCAGAGGCTCTTACATTTTCCTGTATTGGTTATAATCAGTGACTGCCAAGCAGCTTGATTATTGTAAGTAGAAGTTGGTGTAGTCAGTTTGTCCAGAAACAGTCAGGATTCATATTGGCAAGCATGTTATAAGGCAAAAGTATCAAACACGTTAAGGGTCACATCCACAAAACTCTAGAGTGCTGCCTGCCCCAGATTAAATTGTAATTATGAAATGTTTAACAAAATAAATAAAAATGCAGTACAGCATAGATGATGATAATTTTTGATTTTCTAAATTAATATATGGCCTGCAGGAATTTTGTTACTATTTGTGTTTTATACCATTTTTTTTAAGGAAATATGATGCTGCATTTGAGTAAAATGGGAAAGACATATAGAACCACTCAATTAGATAATTAGTGTGTCTGGAGACTGAAAGAAAAACACATACAAAATATATCGTTTTTTCTACAATGACAGAATCAGGAGTACACATAGTGCTTGCATTTAAGTGCCTGGCAGCAGAGTGAAAGGAGGGTAAAAACAATAATGGGGCATGGTTCTACTGGGCTTTAAATTTTATAAGGGTAAAGACAATTAGGTAGATTAGGATATAATGTTCTCAAGTAATTTGATTAAATCTTTAACAATCATACTAAAACTTATGCATTCTAATGAATATTTTCCTGTCAAAAATTTTGAATTGGGTTGTATGCTGTTCCCAAATGTTACCATCACTCACAACATTTTGGGACTTAACTTTTTGTGTTGTCCCATAGAAGAAGGAAGAATAATGAATATATCCTTTCCTAAAATCACTGGAAATTTTGGAATATATCCAGCCCAGTTATAGTCAGAGTATTGAATATGGTTGTGCTAAAATTTTGCATGTGTTTTGTCTAATGAGAAAGAAAGGACTTGATAGGATGCTGATGATGATGAAGATAATGGAAAATTGAAGTGCTTTTTATCCCTTTTGTGGTATGAGAGAGGACAAAAGGAGCATTGTTCATGATCTTTTAGGTCTTTTAGAGAAAGTGTGATTTAGAAAGAAGCAAAAATATAAAATAAGTTGATATGGAGTAGAGAAACTAGTAAGTTAATCATCCTATGGCAAAGTAGGAAGAATATTCTTGCTTTTTCCTATGTCATCTCTGGCAAACCCCTCATATACTGCTGTCCCTACTCAGAGATAAAAAATGAAAAGAGGTTTTTACTTTCAAGGTTCTGACATTACTTTCTTTTTGCAACAGTTAGGATGAATAGGAAACCACCTAGAAAATGCTGAGGTTCATACAGGGCCATATAGAATCACAGAATGTTTACAGTGGGAAGAGACTTCAGAAACCGTCTAGTCTAAACCCTACCCAAATATTATACTAGTATGCCTGAAATGTGGTCTTTTGGTCTTTGTTTAAAACCTCTAATGAAGCAGAACTTTATGTTTTAGTGCATTCTACTTTTTGAGAGCTGTAGTTGGGTTTTTTTTTGTTTGTTTGTTTTTTATCAAACCTTAACTTGGCTTTCTATAGCTTCTACCTGTTATTCCTAATTATGCTTTTTGGTGCTAAATGGAACAATTCTGATTTTCCCCAAATAGTCCTTCAAATATTTGTAAGCAGCTATTGTGTCTCAAATCTTATCTTCTTCAAGCTAAATATCTTCTTTTCTTTTTACCAGTCTTCATATCATATGATCTCAAGTCCCTTAATGATGCTCTGGATGTTTACTCCAGCTTATCATTCAATGTCCTTCCAAAAATGTGGCATGCAGAATTGAATATAATATTCCAGGTGTAGTCTAACAAGAGCACATAAAACAGGGATATCACTTCCCTAGTTGTATAATATGCCTCTCTATGCACACTAAGATTATATTTGATTTTTGGGGGGTCTACTTGAATGTATGTTTGACTTTCATTAAAGCACCTAGATCTTTTTCAAACAAATGGCTAACTAGATCTTCCCTTTTCTTTGTGTATGTGTGGAGTTGATTGTTTGAACCTAAGGTTAAGACTTTATACTTTATCTACTTTCTATTCTTGAAGAAGGCATGCATACTTTTTTTGTGATTACCTTTCATTAATTCATGTTCATTAATGGACAAGTCTAGAATTTTTCAAGAATCAAAAGTTAGATTTACAAGCCTACAATTTGCATCTTCTACTCTTTGCTCATTTTTGAAAACTGGGACAACATTTTCCTTTATTGACTTTTGTGGAACAGCTTCACTTTTCCCTGTTCTCTAAAAGATCACTGACAATGGCTCCATCAGTGACATTTGCATAGAGCCTTGAATGTAGTTCATCTGGGTCTGGTGACTTAAATTCATTAAAGTCCCCTGAATACTATGATTAACTATCTTGGCTTTCATATCTTTATTAATGATTTTTATTCTATCCTTTTTAATCTAGAAAATAGTCTGGTTAGAAGAAAAACAAAGGTAAAATGAGGCAATGATAAATAGCAAATGTCATTGATGGAGCCATTGTATGTGTATGGAAAAGTATGAATTTCCATCTATGAAATAGAAATAAAAAACAGAAATAATCGAAATAAACATGATAAGTTTCTGAATTAGCTACAAGTCAGGATGAAGAGGAAGAGATAAGACATCTAGAGAAGGCAGTGACTGAACATTAGGAGGAATAGCCTGGGAAAGATCAGTTTTGGATTGTGATAGAAATGAGGAACTTGTGAACTGATTCTGAGGAAAAGATACGGTCTTATGACATGTTGGGTTTAGTGTGTGAGTATTTAGAACCAAGTTGATATTAGCATTTGGGTTAGAAAGCAGATCTGGAGGGGCAGTTAGGTGGTGCAGTGGAAAGAGCACTGGCCCTGAAGTCAGGAGGACGTGAGTTCAAATCCAGCCTCAGACCAAAACACTTGACACTTACTAGCTGTGTGACCCTGGGCAAGTCACTTAACCTCAGTTGCCAAGAAAAAAGAAAAAAGAAAAGAAAGCAGATCTGGAGATGTTGGAAGCCATGAAATTATTGCTTGAACTGAATTGAATAAATGTGCCTAACAGAGGTTCAGGTTGGAGAGGGAGGAGGGTAAAGAGGCAAAAGGAAATAACAAAGATTGGCAAGAATGATTGGTATGTGGGTGGGAGAAAAAGATGGAGTAGTTCATAAAGTAAATTGAAAAACAAGAAAAGATAGTATTAGAAAGCTTTGAAAATAGGGTTTCAAGAAGAAAAAGATGGAGACACAGCCAAGGTAGCTGAATAGGAAGACAGAGTACAGCCCATCTCACCCTGAAACTACTCCATATATGTCATACCAAGTAGTGAACAGGAAATTAAAGAAGCTATAATGGGGCCCCAAGATTATAAATTCAGTTGGTCAGCCGATCACTAAGCATTTAATAAAAGGCTTTGTTCTGTAAACCTTGGACTTAGTCAAAAGGCTGAACTCAGACTAATCAGTCCCAGTTGCCCAGAGCAGATCAAGGAATCAGTCCCTGGGCCAGAAAAGCAGCCCTGGGGGAGTTGGGGGGGGCATTCTCAGAGGAACTCACAGCATAAATGTAGCCCCCAGAGAGCTATTGTATGTGAACAACAATGGGTTTTCCAGAATAAATGGAAGAATGATGAAATAAGCAAACAAAATTAAGACACAAACCCAGGAGAGTAGAGTAACTCCAGAACAAACAAATTTTCAAGGAAAAACATAGCTTGCACACAAGATCAATTTGAATTCCTAAAACAAATGATACAAGAGTTTAAAAAAAAGTAAAATTTAAAATAGTATTGTAGAAAATTGAGAAAAGCTGGCAGAGTGCTAGGATACTAGATTCTCTACAAACTCTTTATTCACATATAAAGACTTATCACTCTATTAGACCATTAGGAAGCATCACCTCTAAACTCCCTCATTCAACCCAGGAATTTAAAGAAGAATCTTTGGAGTTTTACAGAACTCCTAAAGAATACACCAAAACAGAGTGAAGAGGGTAAAGCATAGGCAGATCCCCCTCCCCCTTAATAGTTCTAGCACTTCATGCCTGAGCTTTCCAGTGCCCAAACCAGGTCAAAGCTGACTTTTCCTGAGGCTTCAGGAGAGTCACTTTGGGGTATTCTGAGCAGATCTCTCAAACTAAAATTGTGACTGGTTGCTTAAACCCGCTTCATGTAGAAGTGGCCTTAGGCATCCTAAGTTGATCCAGCTTAGAGAACTCCCTGAAACAGAGCCTGAGGATGGTCCAGTTCCAAGGACCTTAAGCCAGCAGAGAGAGAAGCTTCAGCATTTCTCATGATACCATTGCTCTCAGTCAAACTGTTAGTGAAAGGCCCTATGCAAAATCTACCCTGAGCAGTCACTGAAGCCTGTGGAGAGAACTCAGAACAGGAATAACTCCTAAATCTACCACCAGGGGAAACGACCCCAATCAGACTGTATAGGAAGAAGTCCCAGAGTCTTATGACAAGAAAGATTCTCCAGGAAGAGCTACAAAATCCCTTACAGGGAGGGGTCTAGTCTGGCCCACTGTACTCAAGATGGGCAGGCCTTACTTACTTACTTACTCAACTGCAGAACTTGACCAAATACAAAGAAATCCAGCAGACACTCAAAAAAGGAATACAGATATAGAGGAGCTCTGTAAGGATTAGAGAAGAGATAGCAATTATCATCAGGAGAAGAAAGCTTGGAATATTATATTCCAAAAGGTAAGTAAATGATAAATGGTTATAGCCAGGGATAACTTACCTGGGAAAAACTTTTTTAAAATGACTCAGTGGTTTTAAAAAAAATGGATCTTTAATGGAATGGAGAATTTTCAAGCATTCCTGATGAAGTGACCAGAACTAAGTATCAAGAGAAATGCAGATAAGTATACATATTTGCATAATTGAAAGGAAATATATGGGGATGAATTGTT